CATTCATTCATTCATTCATTCATTCATTCATTCATTCATTCATCTTATCATTAAATCTAAATCATATCACAATGTACTTTCCATCTTCTCATCCTTAGAGCATAAAGCCTTTTCAAAAATAGTTAACAAATTCATATCCTAGACTTCTTTTTTCCAGTTATGTAGGATTACCTTCTTTGCTGTGCCCCAGGCTTCATAGAGTCAAAGTTCCACATGAGATGACAAGTTCTATGTTTTAGGAGTATAATTCAGTATCACACTGAGATCCTTAACTATAATATTTCTTCCCTAAATTATATTAACATGCATATTGATTTGAAGCCAAACAAAACTATAATAAAATGAGACTAAACCATATGAGTTAAATAATCTTTAAACTTCTTATATCACCAACAAAATAAATCTAATATCCATCCCTTTTTAAAGATTCTCTGAGGGATGCAATACATCTGAAATAATATTTTCTGATGAATTAATTTCATTTTTAAATCATTGGAAGAATATTTCACATTTTTTAATACCTGGACCCACTGATTTTTTCAAAATTGGATATTCCAGTTTTTCTTCCACAGATCAAATGTATAACTGATACTAACTTTCATTTAACTTTTTAGCACCTTCTAAAACTGAATTATTGCTTTCCATTCAAGACCAGCATCTCTTAAATTAAATTTGCAGGTGCTTAGAAGCTGCTAAAGCATCTGGACCACACTGTTTAGTTAATACATGCACAGTTGTCTATATTGCCAATATACTGAAGATAAATCAAACTCGAAATGCAATGCCTCAAAATATTTAAAACAGCCATTACAATTAACTGATTTAAAGTATCAATCCCTTGTTTAGTCTAAGCATTCCAAAAGAACATCTGTTTTCACATTTCAGTTATACCATAGTGTCAACATTTCATGTGGTATCAAATTGTAACAATTTACCTATAAATAGCCAAATATGCCTAGCAAGTTTCAAAGCAGGAGATGAATTAGTATGCCTAGACCCTAAATCTTACTGAAATTTCAAAGGTGTGACATATTTGCTGTCCAAATGGCCCAAAGGTGAAAGTAACTGTAATAAGTCTCATTCAGGAAAAATATAGATATTAAAATGAAAACTTAGTGATATAGTTGAACATCTGGCAGACTAAGGCCACCATTCTCATAAGATAACCACAGTGTTGCCAAAGATATTCTAGGGGCTTTAGGCTGCCATAAAAAAAATCTCATTAACTTATCTGTGTGAAATATCTAATAGGAATTAACTTGGAAGCCCTCTAAAGATATACATTAATCTTGCTGTAATATTCATTTTAATAACATTAATCTTACCCTAGAGACTTAATAGGAATTTTAACTATCGATATATCTATTGAAATTACATCTATACATTGGATAAATGTAATTCAACAGATTATGATAAACTTAAAGAAAGATGTAAACCCATGTATTTTATACAAATCCTAATCACTCACAGCAACCTATAGATATAATAGATCCCAAAGACAACAAATTAGATTATTTACTCTAGCCACAGGATAAAGATACCAAATTGTAATCCAGTGAGCAAAAGATGAAGGAAACCCATATTTTATCAAAATGCATTTCATACATTCAATCTGCGCCATAGTGATGGCCTTTTGAGCCTCCAACAAAATTAGAATAGCCGATTCCAATTTATCTGCAATTACTGATATCAGCGTAGCACTGCTGCTGTTAGCCGGATCCTACCTCATACTTTTTTTCTTTTTCTTTTTTTTTATCCTCAACCAAGAACTCTTTGATCCTGGATTCAAGAATGGCATTATGAAGGAAAATAGAAATGTTTTGTTGTAGAAACTTGAGATTTATTCATGTATCCATGTTCTTGTCACACTGTGGTTTCCAAACATTTCCAAGAACTTGTATTAGTGCCCTCTTGAACCTTTCCAAGATGAAGAGGCAGAAGAGGTAAGTTTTGAAAAAAGATTTGGTATTAAGATTTACTTTCTCATTTTCTGAAGGGACAGTTGGTTGAGGAGTAAAAGCAATGTACAAGCTCCTTTCATTGATGTGATTAAATACAAGCTTGGTATTGAATCTTCAGGGGATTTTAGATAAAATACTTTAGAGGAAAACTCAAAAGAGTTTTTTTTTTTTTTATCAGCCCCATTAAAATTTGCTACGTCTGAAAAGTTGAAAAGAAAGTATTGCTCTGATTCTTGCTTTCATAAAAATGACCTCTTTGGAATAGCAAGGACAGCAATGAAACACCAGTTGCAAAGACCTTAGGAATTGCATTTACAGTGGTTTGTATTGCAAGCTTTTTGGCTACCCAACTATCAGAGCCAGATGATTGGACAGGGCCCTTCACCTTAAAATCTTTAACACTGAACCATCTTCATTGTAACCAGCCTTATTCCACAGGTTTGTTTCCAGAGCCTCTGCTATGTTATTAGTGTTAAGTTCATTTATTCATTCATTACACATATGGAGTGCTACTTTCAACCCTCTAAGCCTAAAGCATTGTCATTCTTCAAAGGTTATCAAAACCTTCAGTTCCTGAAATGGGCTGGCTATTTTAATAACTCTCAGTACAATAAGAAATGGCAATATTTAACAACTCTAAAACTGCTCCTGTCTTTTTGTCCAGAAAACGATTTCTGTCTTTTGATTGTTCCTTATGCTTTATTTGTTAGTTTCAGAAAATGTTTCATTTGAGACTCTTGGCAACTGAACAGGTTCACAAGATTGCAGCCAGGAAGAGAGTTGCTAGGATTACATTAGGATTAAGTCAGTATTAAACCAGGAAAGAACCTCCTTTATCTTTCCTCAATGCTTTTTGCAAGAGGGGAGTGGCTTTGCTCTCTCCTTGCTAACAGGATATGTGACTTAAAGCCTCAGGTTGGCAGACAAGGTGCTTTTCTCTCCCACCTCCTCAGGGTAAATCAGCTTTGACCAGCTGTCACTCTCCAGCTTGTTTGATTGTTTGTGGGATTTTGTCTACCACCTGAAACTAAAAAGACTCTAAGAGGCTTATAGAACTCACATATAAAAACAATAGAAAATCAATAAAATAATTAAATTTATAATCTAATCAAATTAATTTAAATATTAAACTAATAAACTAACATTCATTAAGTATGGCACCACTGGCTATATTTAATCCTCAGATGCATGTGGACTTCACATCTCATAGTTCTGAGCTATTTGTCATGACTAACCTAGACTTCTTGGAGATCCACCCAATGCCAATCCATAATTTAAGCAAGCAAGATAGGAACCTCAGACTCAATGGTCTCATCATCCTATTTCATCATTCCTATTTCAGAGGGATCCAGGACAATCATAATTATACTGGAATTGAAGTCCAAACAGTTTAGAAAGCATCAGGTTGGGGAAGGCTGATATAGAGCCAGCTGGCATTTTAACCACTGTACAGCAGTATGGGATTAGTAATTCTCAGGGAGCAAGTAGAAAGCTTGTATGTCTTTCCCAACTGATCAAGGCAAGAAAAATTATATATGTGATGTTGTAGCTGCCTCATCAAGATGTAGGGATAAACAGTTGAAGTTATTTTGCACATATAACAACTGGCAGGTACAGCACATTCATGGATAATTATTTATGACTGTCTGGAGATAAAATCAGGGCAGGCCTTCCTCGTAAGGCTGACTGACACAATCACCTCAGGGGGATTGCTCAAGGGAAGTAGTGTCAGCTTCTGATTGTTCCTCTTGAATTCCCCAATGTTTCCTTCTGTTGGGGAACAGAGATGCCTGCATAAATCCTGCACTAGGGGCTCTAAATTAGTCTGCTTCCTCAGTTGCAGTGATAGATACAAGCACTGAAACATGCAATTCCAGCTGGCTTCTACATATGGAATGCGGAAGGGTCGCCTTATTTCAAGCAGCAATTTTGTTTTGGCCAGACCCAAGTATCGTTTCGCAGACATGGATTCAGTATACCATTTCCTTCAAGCTAACAGGAGAGAAACACACAGAAAGAGTTCCTTTGGGGAATGATAGCATTGTGGCCTCCTCAGCTTCCATACCAAGGGATGGCTGTACATCTAAATTAGGCCTCATAAGTTGACTAACATTGACGTGAAGCTGCCCAAGAAGCATTATATCAAAAGATAAACTATATAATTCTCTCCTGAGAACTAATCACACTGGTAGGATATGGGATATATACTGGTTACAGAACCGCCCATTCTGGATCATTAGGAAATATGGTTCTGTAAATACCTTGTCATAAGAGAAGGCATGCCAAGTATATATGCTAGACGTGAAGGCCACCAATAGTGAGCAAAAAGCAAAAGAGAATAAGGTCTATCGTTATTAGGAAACAACAGAGAGACAGTTCTAAGTCAAATTCAGGATAGCCAGTAGTTTCAAGCATAAGATTCAAACAGAGAGATACAGTTAAAAGAGCAAACATAATGTGTGGCTTTCAGAAAGATGGGACCAGGTATTTGCCTAATGAGATTTAGTGTTGATCACATCCTGGAAAAGGAAATTTCTCTGGAATTCAGAAAAAAAAATAAAAGAAAAATTGAAAATTTATTTTATGATACTTTTATTACATTCACAATTAACATGAATATGGGTCCTGATA